GATTGCAAAAAATCCTATTCTTGTTCTTTTACTGTTCTTTTAATGTATTCCCCTAAATCAAAGTAATCAATCTGAACTGTAAATAATATTTTTATTTTAAAATATGCACCATTCGATTTTATTTGTATTCCTAATATGTTGAAAATGCAAAACATAAAAATGCTCGTCGTCACATTCAATGGCTATGAATTACATGAATCACAAATGACAGGCCTGCATTCAGTTCAATTCACTGGATATTGTTGGTAGTTTATGTCATTGTAAAACAATTGGTTTTCGGTGAAATGCGCGCTCGATTTCTGTGAACAGTAAGGCCCGCCTTCTTTGATTTGATTGGTCATCTCAATCATTTTGACATTGATGAGCACTGTTAGACGGCTGGAGCTGAGGCAGACCAGAAAATGTAGATTTTAAAACGTCTAACAATGTAACAGTTTTTACTTTTATCCTATGACAATTCTGAAAGAAAACGCTTTGTGAGCTGACTGTTGCTTTATAGTAACGAACGCAACTTTCATCGCAAAAGCTCTTATTTCAGTGTCGTTGTTTCTAACATTGTGGTCTTAAACAGGCAGTTTGTTTCTTACATTCAATTTAACAGCATTCCCTTACGAAAAAGAAGTTTATTCAAGTGTGCTATTAGTATACTTCTTTTAAACTAAAAAACTTTTAGTCTACTTTTTATGTACTTCTCAGAAATATTCTTAAAATGACATTTAAGTATACTTGACTTATACTAAATATATTTTAGTTATAATTGTGCTCCTAGAATCCGAGTTTTCATTGTTTTACTGTAGGTACACATATTCTATACAGAATTTCCAAAAAACACAAGTGAAGAAGAAACCGAAACAACAGATGCTTCCACATGTATTCTAACACGATCATCAGACATAAAACAGCATCAAAACTGTGCAACGTTATGGAATAAAATGTCGACCAATGAAGAGGTACTAATGACTGTCAAGCTCCGGGGTGTTGATCGACTTTATCTACGTTTTGATTATCATTCTGAATCCAATTCATAGTCTTTTTTCAGCTTTTTGTTCAAAATGTTGTTTATTTCTTTATTTTTTATTTATGAAACTTACCCACATTCAAGTGTTTAAAAAAATAATGCATGAAGCTAGAATAAAATACCCTGTTCTTTTGATGTTTTCTATGTTCAGATATTCATGTAACAAAATATACAAAGTTTACTACTGTTATACTTACAGTATACTTAAAAGTATACTTTTATACTAGAAAGTGGGCCAATTTAGTCCCAAGGAGTATTGAAATAGTTACATAGTACATAGTAACTACTAGGACATTGATATTTGTGTACTTACTACATAAAGTATTGTTACGACCCTGGTCTAGGTCAGGACTGCAGCATAAACGACACAACAATGAATGGCTGTTTTAAGCACTCATTTTAATTCTCTTTGATCAATTTTTCGTGCGGTAGCAGTTTTGGAGAGTACAAACAATATCATCACAAAGAAATAAACAAATTAAAGAAACTGAGGCAAATTATCAGGGGTGAGCAAATGCCCAAAGCAATAAACAAACAACACTCTAACTTCCCATAAAGAAACTAACTTCCCTGGGAATCAAAATAAAGAAACCAAAATACAACATATCTAACCTCACTCCTTGTCTACCCAAAAACAGGAGAAAAGGATAATGGCCAAGTGGCCTATAAAAACAAATAAGGCACTCACCCCCTACAGCCTCACACGTGGCTTACAAACATGAACAGTGAAACATTGAAGTTAAAGACATAAGGCTCTCACAACACATGAAGCTAACAGCACTCCGTTAGAATATAGACTTGAGATCTCACAGCATTTTCACTACAACTTAACACACAGTTTTAACACCAGAGCAATCAAAGAGAGACATACAGAGCAATGATCATAGCGAGCAGCAAGAGTGAGAGCAAGAGTGAGAGCACCCTCCAGTGAGATCCGGGGGAATTTATAGTACAGGTCTCGTCTCTGGTCCACCCACCAGCAGTCTCTCATTAAGCCTTGAACCAATCCTGGTAGAGAGGAGACAACAGGAACACATCCACAGCATACAATACGTCTTAGACGTAACAGTATACTTAAAAATATACTTGAACTTTACTTAAGTATACTTACTAAAATAAACTTGAAGTATACTACTTTTTGGTAAGGGTTAACAGCAAGTCAAACTGGGTAAGCTTTCAACTGAACTGTATACATGCATTTTAAACGCTTATACTTTGTTCTTGCCCCGTCCATGCAGCAAATGCACATTATTGAATAAGCGAGGTTTTTTAGGAACATAATTCAACTGCTCATGTAATTTCAGTGGTAGTCTAAGGCACATATTCATGTAGATACGTATTAAACTCCCGTAATTCGCACACTGATAGCGCACAAATATTTCTGCCCGTTTTCACTCGTTGTCAGCCTCTGCTTTTCCACAACAGACTGAAGCCTCCTCGTGAATTTAGCATGCCTTTGCTTTCAGCTAAAAGAAAAATTATGCAATTTCTGGTGTTATTTTATGATTGTTGGGGCAGTCTTCAGCTCTTAAGCATCTCAAAATACAGTCCGCTTCAGATTGCTTTTAATCACTGCATAAAACATTTAACGAAATCTTTACCTATATTTCTGATTGGGTGTAACCCTGTAACTCGAAACACAAAATGCAATGCATAATTTAAACTGCAGGTAAAAACCTGTGAATTATTTTCTTAGAGTGTAGCATACTGACTACTAATACACTGCTTAAAACTATAATTGTTCAGAATGTCTAGTTTTACTGGTTTACTAATAAAAAAACTTGTAATTGTTCAAAAATGATGCTAATTAATCTAATTGTAAGAGTTCAGAGGCATTGCCCTGTTAAATGTAGAGGGAAAGATATTCTTTTCAGTTCTGGCAAAACATTTAACCAGCTACCTCTTGGCAAATAATTAAATTTATACCAGTTGCCAGAAGGCAGGAGTACCAGGCTTCCCTGGCTGCGTGGAGCACTCAGCTATGATCTGGGACCAAATCCAGACAGCCAAGAGGAATAGATCAGATCTGCACGTAGTCTGGTTGGACCTTGAGAATGCCTACTGGTCAGTTCCCCACCAACTAATCTCCTTTGCACTCAATTTTTTCTATGTGCCGCTGGCCATTCAGACCATAGTGACCAAGTACTTTAACACCTTCCAAGTTTGCTACACAACCCAAGAGATCTCGACAGGTCGGTACCCGCTGGAGAGGGGCATAGCGATGTGATGTTCCATCTCCCCCATCCTTTTTACTGCCGCATTTGAGATCATCTTGATCGGTGGCAGGCAGATGGTCCGAGGAGTCAGGGCCCACGTAGGCCATAGGCTTCCAGCCATAAGACGTTACATGGTAAGAGACTCACCTGACCTTCTTATGAGAAACACTGAAGCCCAGATCCGCACTGGACGCAAGTGGAGCGTGACACAGACAGTGGAACAGGCTATCAACAGACTATAGCATCAGGAGATTGTTGGGTTCTCACAGCCAGGAAAGATAGGGCTTGGATGGGGATCTGCACTTAAAATGTGGTCCAAAGCATTCACAAAGGAAAGGAAAGATGTGCGGTGATGTATCTGACCGGCATATGGCTGACACTGTGATATCCCAGCTCGTAGATGGGCTGAACAAGATCGACCAAAGCTGCCTCTCAGGGAAATTCAAGGTTTGGTGTTACCAGTTTACTCTGAACAAGCGTCTTATGTGGCCTCTGAAGCTGTGCGACATTACCTTAACAACTGTCCTGAAAATGGACAGGAAGGCAAATAGCTACATCAAGAAATGGCTTGGCCTCCCTCGCAGTCTTTCCAATGTGGCACTGTTTGGGAGAAACATCTTGGAACTCCCACTAAAAGCCATCAGTTTGGGCTACAAGCAGGAGAAGGTGAGGCTGCTATTTGAGTTAAGAGACTCACCCGACCTTCTTGTGAGAAACACTGTAGCCCAGATCCGCACAGGACGCAAGTGGAGCGTGACACAGACAGTGGAACAGGCCATCAACAGACTACAGCATCAGGAGATTGTTGGGTTCTCACAGCCAGGAAAGACAGGGCTTGGATGAGGATCTGCACCTAAAATGTGGTCCAAAGCATCCACAGAGGAAAGGAAAGATCTGGTGATCACAGAAGTGTCAATGATGGAGGGGGAGTGTTACAAGGTCAGAGCTGTGCGGCTACACCAGCAAGGCAGATGGACAACCTGGGAAGCTATCAATGGGAACATCACGTGGGCTGATATGTGGAAGATTCCCCAAGCAAGGCTAAGCTTCCTCATAAGGGCCACGTACGATATGCTTCCCACAGAACCTACAATTGTGGTATGGATCGGAAGAGAACTGTCATGTATGCTCCTCCCAGAATCCAAATCTCCAGCACATCCTTTCTGGGTGCAAGGCAGCACTGATCCAGGGCCGCTAGAGATGGCGTCATGACCAAGTCTTGTGCAAACTTGCGGAAGTCCTGGAGACGCGCAGACTGGATGCAAACAGGGCCCATTCAGTAAGATCTCAGCAGCGGATCCACTTTGTCAGACAAGGGGAAGAGAGCCAAAGCGGCAGGCAGAAGGAGCGGTCTCTCTGGTTCCCGGTTGAGATCGCCATAACCTCTTTACAGCCTGACATTGTCCTCTGGTCCACCCTTTCAAAAACAGTCATCATGGTCGAATTGTCCGTCCCATGGGAGGAGGGGCTGGAGGCTGACTTTGAGCAGAAAAAGGAGAGGTACATGGAGCTAGCTGCTGCGTGTTCCCAAGCCGAGTGGAGGGCTCTTACCTTCCCAGTAGAAATCGGCTGCAGAGGCTACATCGGAGCATCTACCCAGCGGCTCTTGAAGTCTCTGGGCACCACCGGCCGTGAACAAAAGAGAGCACTCAAAAATCTGGCAGAGGAGGCAGAAAAAGGGAGTTTTTGGCTGTGGCTCAAAGTGATGTATGATTAATTTGTATTAATTAGATCTACAATGTTATCAGCACAGGTATGCCTACCTGCTAGGCATCATTGCCAGAAGCACCTCTGCCGGTGCCGTTGGACCAGCTGTGGAGTCATCAGCCGGGAGCCACCCTTCACTAATGTTTCACCACTTTAATCCTGGAACATCTCAGGGTGGTGGAGCAGCGACAGGGACGTCTCCCTGCCACCCCCTGGTCCTAGGATCCCTGTTTGCCCCATGTTCTGTCCCTTCTACGGAGCCACAGCCTTTTCTAAAGCTACTTTTTGTAATGTCTCTTCAATGATTGAATCATCTAACAATAATGATTTAAATCAGGGGTGTCCAAGCTATGGCCTGCTATCACTCCTGAGGCCGCCCGCGAGGGATTTTTAAAAATGATATGAATCTACAGAGGTGGGCAAACTATGGTCGTTTTCATGCAGCCCGTGAGGCAGTTAGTACTCTTTTAGCACTCGTTAAGTATACTTATTGAAATGAAGTACCTACTCATCGAGTATACGGTTTTGGACGCAGCCTTTGTATTTGTCATTGAATCATTCATTCAAGAGATTTGTTCAAAAACCTTGATTCACCCAGTAATGAAACAAGTGAAGAATACGAGATGTGAAAGGAGCGGCATATATACACACACACAGGCATGTCTACTCTTTGTTGAAACAGAAGTAATGTATTAAGCGTAGAGGAGAGAAAATGGACGTAAAGTATCGATCTCATCAGGCTAGTATTGACCCAATACCAATATTAACGTTCATATCGATACTATCAATATTAGGATCAATCTGCCCACCGCTAGAAGAAGAAGAAGGGTTGCTAATGTAGACAAACTCATTCAATCTCAGTCATGTGTGGAGTAAAATATAGTTTATTAAGCAAATAAAAGCGTTATTGAGAAATTTAAAAGCCCAAAAAGTAATTAGAATAGATATTAAAACTAAAATTATAAAATTACTTTAAAAAAAAAATACTTTTTTAAATTTTCTGATTCAAATACAATCAGCAGACAATAAAAGTTGTTGATAAAATATAAAAAGTAAAGATAATGTATTATTAAAAAAGGTAACATTTGATCAATAATTACATTTAATCAGCAAATACAAAAACAAGCTAAGTAAAAGTAAGAAAACTAATGAGCTGGATCTCTCTCTCCTACTGATTTAAAAGTATGGATGGGTATCGGTAAGGTTTTAATATTCTTACAATCCTGCTTATTAAACATACTGAACATAATATGAAACGAATGAACATAATATGAAACCCATAAGAAAGCACAATGATATATCATGAAGCAAAACGATATACAGGAATAAAACCTTTGGACATTGTTCTTTGGGGAGAAACTCCATCTTTGAGTTGATCTGAATCTCCGTTAAATCTGCTGGTTTGAAGATGAAGATGAACTTTATTCAACTTTAGATACCATTTCTTTGTCATGTCACTTGTAATGACAGATTTACCCAGTTGATATTTAACTGCTTGATGCATTATTGTGTCACATTTGGTGAGGACACAGCATCAGATCTGAAAGTGCTGGATCTGAAGATGATCTACTTACTGTGATAGTTTTTTGTATGTTTGTGTAGAGAAGATGAATGACTGAAACACTTCCCACATGCAGTGCAGTGATACGGTTTCTCTCCAGTGTGAATCCTCTCATGTTTTTTCATATTTCCTAACTGACTGAATCTCTTGTCACAGTGCGAACACTTGTAAGGTTTCTCTCCAGTGTGGATCCTCTCATGCAGTTTTAAATGGTTCGCTGTAGTAAAAGTCTTCTCACACTCAAAGCACATGTACTCTCTCACACCAGTATGTACTTTCTGATGCACTTTTAAATGTTCTGGACGTGAAAAACTCTTTCCACACAAATGACATGAATGTGGCTTCTCCTTTGTATGAACTCTCAGGTGCTGCTTCAGGCCTGAAGCTCTCAAAAATGTTTTGTCACATTGATCACATGTGTACAGTTTCTCTCTAGTGTGGATGTTCATGTGTATCTTAAGGTTTGATGAGTGTGAGAAACTCTTCCCGCACTGATCACAGGTGAATGGTTTCTCTCCAGTATGAACTCTCATATGGTCTGTAAGGCTTGATTTTAGTGTGAATCTCTTCCCGCACTGATCACATGTGTGCGGTTTCTCTCCAGTGTGAATCCTCTCGTGTGTTTTCAGAGCTCCTGACTGAATGAATCTCTTGTCACAGTGTGAACACTTGTAAGGTTTCTGTCCAGTGTGGATCCTCTCATGCAGTTTTAAACACTTTGCTGAAGTAAAAGTCTTTTCACACTCAAAGCACATGTACTCTCTCACACCAGTATGTGTTTTCTGATGTAGTTTCAAATATTGTAAACATGAAAAACTCTTTCCACACAAATGACATGAATGTGGCTTCTCCTTTGTATGAACTCTCAGGTGCTGCTTCAGGACTGAAGCTCTCAAAAATGTTTTGCCGCACTGATCACATGCGTACGGTTTCTCTCCAGTGTGGATCCTCTCATGTCTTTTGAGTGTTCCTAACTGAATGAATCTCTTGTCACAGTGTGAACACTTGTAAGGTTTCTCTCCAGTGTGGATCCTCTGGTGCAGTTTTAAACATTTTGCTGTAGTAAAAGTCTTCCCACACTCAAAGCACATGTACTCTCTCACACCAGTATGTGTTTTCTGATGTAGTTTCAAATATTGTAAACATGAAAAACTCTTTCCACACAAATGACATGAATGTGGCTTCTCCTTTGTATGAACTCTCAGGTGTTTCTTCAGGACTGAAGCCCACAAAAATGTTTTCCCGCACTGATCACATGTGTGCCGCTTCTCTCCAGTGTGGATGTCCATGTGATCCTTAAGGTTTGCTGAGTGTGTGAAACTCTTCCCGCACTGATCACAAGTGAACAGTTTCTCTCCAGTATGAACTCTCATGTGAACATCAAGAATATGTTTGTATGTGAAACTCTTTCCACACTGAGTGCAGGTGAAAGATTTCTTGGCCCTTTTTTTCTTTAAATGTTTCTGTTTGGGTTTTTCTACACTCCTGACATGGTTTTTCTCCTCAGAATTCTTCTTTCTCCTCATTGTCTTCAATCAACTCTGAAACAAAAGTAAAAACAGTACATTTGTCAGTAACTCGTTAAAAAAACAGAAAAGTTAAAGGACATAATAAAGTGAAAGGACATAAAGATGAACCCTGATATAACAGCAGAAAGTAGACACCTGCATTACAAAATGTTTATCATTTTGATGCAATTTTATAAATTATACGTCCCTGAATCTTTCCGTGAATGAGGTACACTGATCTTCAAATGATTACTTTTAAACTATTATAGGCACAAACCTCATGTTTCTATAGGGAGAACTATTAAATATGTTTGATCAACAACATGAAGGATCTGAGGATCCTCAAATACAAACTGTGTGTTGCATTAAGAGAGCGACCATACATTTGTGTTATGTTTTTATTTTCTTGTTTTTACTCATTTATAAAGTTCCCAGAGAGAACGCCTCTCTTCTCTCTGGGAACACATCACTTCTCTCTGGGACTTTTCTAAACTCCCTGAAAACTGCAGTTGTTAAACCCCTCCTGAAAAAAAAAACAATCTTGATAACACCATATTGAGCAACTATAGACCAATATCAAATCTACCTTTTATAGGCAAGATTATTGAAAAGGTAGCTTTTAAATCAGCTGAACAAATACTTAAACTCAAATGGATACCTGGACAATTTTCAGTCATACTTAGAAGGGAGAGGTTATTATGTGAGTATAGGAGAGCATGAGTCTAAGTGGACGTCCATGACATGCGGAGTCCCACAAGGATCAATTCTTGCACCGCTCATGTTTAGCCTGTATATGCTCCCACTAAGTCAAATAATGAGAAAGAACCAAATTGCCTATCACAGCTATGCTGATGATACCCAGATTTACCTAGCCATATCTCCAAATGACTACAGCCCCATTGACTCTCTCTGCCAATGCATTGATGAAATTAACAGTTGGATGAGCCACTGCATGGTACGGCACAGTACGGCTTGGTACGGTTCACTTTTGGGGGGTTTTCCACTGGGTACAGTACCTGGTACTTTTTTCAGTACCACTTCGGTTGAGGTTCCAAGTGAATTGTACCGTTACCAAAACGTGACGTGTAAACTCTGCTGATCACAGATTGGCCGGAGAGAATCTACACTACCTGCGTAACTGAACTTTTGACACTAACACAACAGAACCGCTAGATTTAAATCAGCACAGCCGGAAGGATCTTATGCAACTGTTTTGAACGAGCGCACATTTTTTTACAACGAATAAATGGCTGTTTTGTGGTCTGTTGAGGAAGTACAGACGTTCCTCTCGTTGATAGCAGAGGAGCGGATCCAGCAAGAGCTTGATGGGGCGACGCGGAATGAAAATGTTTTTCAGGAGTCGCGGCACTAGAGGCGGCCCAACTATAACGACGTGAATAATCCCACCCACTCTAAAGCGGTACTAAACTGCAGTGGAAATGCAAACCGAGCCGAGTCGTACCACGCAGTGGAAAAGCGCCATTAGACAGCTGCAGCTCATCCAGAACACTGCTGCCAGGATTCTGACTAGAACCAGAAAATCTGAGCATATCACACCAGTCCTCAGGTCCTTACACTGGCTTCCAGTTACATTTAGGATTGCTTTTAAAGTACTTTTACTCGTTTATAAATCACTCAATGGCCTAGAACCTAAATACATTGCAGATATGATCACTGAATATAAGCCTAACAGACCACTCAGATCACTAGGATCGAGTCATTTAGAAATACCAAGGGTTCACACAAAACAAGGGGAATGTGCTTTTAGTTATTATGCCACCCGCAGTTGGAGTCAGCTTCCAGAAGAGATCAGATGTGCTAAAACACTAGCCACATTTAAGCCTCTAAGCGCCAAAGTCGCAAAACTGCGACAAGACGTCATACTTAATAAAATAGACTGTAGTTCCTAATATCTAATTTGTATTCCCTGCCACTAGATTGCAGACATGTAGTACTTCAATTCTAGACCAAAATTACATCACATTCCTATTCAAAGTGTTTGAGGAAATAGCAGAGCAAGTGAGCTATCGTGTCTTTGATGCGGAAGCAGTTCAGTTCAAAGCGTGCGGGTAAGCTGTGAGATTTGTGAGAGAAAATCACCAAATGGCTAATAAAAAGTTGTACCGTGAGGATGCGTTGCAAATGTAATTCACCGATTCTGACTCTGAAAGGGAATATTTGCCTTTTGGAAATGACGATCGGTTGTCTAATCATCGCGCTTCTCCCGGTACATATTTGCAGCGCAATGGTGCCGTCGTGCAAGGCGAGTGTTCACGAAGCACAAACAAGTCATCATTTCGACCCTTTGCCCAACGGGGATGGGGGTGGCAGCGGTGAACGTGGTCGTAGTGTCTAAAATTTTAACTTTATACATTTTTCTGTATTGCTTTATTGCATTTAAATGTTCAGTTGTTTTTGTTATAAGAAAAAAGTTACTAAACCTTTTATACTGTAATTTTTGTAACTAAATTTCAATACCGTGATAATACCGCATACCGTGATAAAAGCATTAGCAATTAATCGCAACATGAAAATTTGATACCGGCATATCCCTAGTCACAACACCATGGTATAGTTAGCGTTACTACTAGGGCTGCCCGCTAATAGTCGACTAACCGTTAGTCGATAACATTTTATTAGTCGCAGAAAAAAGAAATCAACAGTTGAAGTCACGCAGTCCGTGACAAACAGATTGTTAGCGGCTGGTCTATGTGGTAATACAGTACATCATGCAGGACATCCAAACACTCGCCTATCCTTCATCGACCTCAAATATGATCGTCTGAAGTATGCAAGTATTAGCAACTTTACATATCTGCTCAATCTAATGTTAACCTGGAGAAATGTGCGCTATTCAGTGTCTGTGCGGAGTGTGAAAGCTGAACAGTAGCCTAGTGTCGCTAAAAGAAGAATTTCCTGAATTTTCTAAAAAAAAAAAAACTATAGTTTCGAGAGAAGGTGGTAAAATGTACGGAGCCCGGGAAGTCCCCTGTAGGAGAAAAAACAACAACAATCTGTGCCGACGGTTTTGCAATCCGTCCCCTCAGTTTATAAACCGTACTCACAAATTCTTAAAAGGTTCCCTCGGTTTAACAAATCGTGCCCACAGATTAATAAACCGTACCCACGAATTTCCGATCCGTGCGCTCAGATTTTGTAAACCGTACCTTCGGGTTTGTAAACTCGTGGATTTGTGGCCCCGGCCCCACCGGCAGATTCAACCACGGTGCGGGATGCATAGTATTGTGTTTATTAAACATTATTTTTCATAGTAGCCTATGAGACCATGATCCACACTGACAAAATAGTCTTCTCTTTAGCGTTATATTCTATATTAATCACCAATAGGATAAAACAGTCACCTGTGTTTTATAGCCTAAAATAAATGCTAAAAAGAATAGAACATTTCCTGAATTTTCTAAAAAAAAAAAAAAAACGATAGAGTTTCAAGAGAAGGAAAAAAGGGATAAAAACCCAATAATGTACCGGTTATGTTGTCATTCCTTTGCTCTCTAACTGAATGCAATAGGCCTAGTTATTTAATAATAACTTTTAACAGTGAAGCATGCATCTAACTCTGGGGGGAAATGTGTTGTCATTCCTTTGCTCTCTAACTGAATAACTGAATGCAATAGGCCTAGTTATTTAATAATAACTTTTAACAGTGAAGCATGCATCTAACTCTGGGGGGAAAAGCTTAGTATAATAAAATCACCTAAATAAGTCTGTGAATGAATTAATGAAATGTGTTAAGAATGAATAGTACACAAACACAGCTCCAAAACTGTAAAGTTATTTAAAGATGAAGCATTCATGAATTATTTTATGACAAACATTTTAAACATTTGCACTCATTTATTTAGCCTATAAAAAATATAATAATAATAATAATAGTTAAAAACATATGCATTTAGGAGAAGCTTTTATCCAAAACGACTTACAAAAGAGGAACAAATGACTCCAAAGTCAGTCACAAAGCCAGGTTTATTATACAATAATAATCCAGTGCTAAGATTATCACAAATTAAACAAGATTTTGATGCACATCTTTCTTATTAAACCGTTGTACTCCACCTTGTATCCGTTACAATTGTTAGAGAATCACTCAAGACACTTCGCTGTAGGCCTGTTCCACATAATAATAATAATATGCAATAAAACGACATACAATATGATCTCCACCTTGTATCCGTTACAATTGTTAAAGAATCACTCAAGACACTTCGCTGTAGGCCTGTTCCACATAATAATAATAATATGCAATAAAACGACATACAATATGATTCGTTAACACAGGCTACCGAGGAGCTTGCTGCAGGAGTCCGTGAGTACAGTTTACAAACCCGAGGAACAGAAGAAAGAAGAAAAAGAGTTCACACTCACCGCACAACTCTCAGTCCCTCGCCAGCTCCACTCACTTACTCGCGCATGCGCACACCGAGTGATCCTCACAGCGCTGCTGCAGAGTGACGTCAGAGCAGGCTGGACCCAGTATCGGTCACAAGCCCCGCCCCCTCCATCTAATCTAACGGCACGCGAGACTCACCAAATAACTACATTACACTCCCAATATTTGTTTCCAAAGATGGGTTTTGACTTTGCATGTAGTTTTTGTCACGCTGATGTAAGTTCAGGTGCTTTTAGTTAGGTATTAGTTTTATTGCACAACAAGAGCAGTAGCACAACATACATATATAGAGAATCACAGTGTGTTCAGCTATTATCAGTTACATTCATAATAGCATCAAAGCAACAAACAGGACAAAAGAAAGAAGGGACAAAACTACAGGGGATAACTTACAAGAAATTTCCATCAGAAAAGCATTCAAAAATTCTATACATTCTATAAATTCTTTCTTATTTCTTAGATCTTTTAAGTAATGCTCTGCTGTCTGTTACGCTTCGTCTGAAACACACCAGCTGAGGTAATGCTCACCTTCTTTTTTCTTCAATGCTCTCGCTAATACATCTTAATAAATGCTTAAAACAACAAGTGTGGTGTATTCCTTAATAAACCACTTTCTCAATAAAACCGATACCGATAACAGTTGTATTTGGTTACAATACAAAGGTATTACATAAAAAGTAAAGGCATACTTGCAATAGGACAATAGCTTAATTTCCTCTACAACATGCAGCTGTTACATATTTCCTGTTTGCAGCCCTGAGAGCCCCTCTCAGGAGGGGCGACTTGTCAGGATTATGGACCGGTTTGGTGTGTTTCTGTCATTAATCTCCCCTCTGCAGCTTCATCCACACAGACTGGAATCTGTTTCAGCAAAAGTCATTAACTCAACTCTTACTTTAAAGCCTGTTTCTGCATGACAGAAGATCTTCTAACAATGGCTTTCCTCTCCCCTTCTAGAAGATATTCTGGCAGCAATGAGTTTATCTATCCTTAATTATTCATTATTTATTAATAATTTTCCATTATGATCAATGTAAACATGTTTACTCCACGAACATGGAAAACAGCGATAACGGCATTTACCTGTTGTCTGCAGTGTTGTGTTCTTTTCTTAGCTTCGATGATATGTAACACTGCAGGTTGTCATAAAACAATGTCTCTTAGCCCAACTTTTTGCTCTTGCAATCACGTAAATCGTGCGTTTACATCTCCATCACCTCTGTTAAGTGCACTGATGTCAAACTCATTTTGGATAATAAAGATTATTGTTAAATACTCAGCCTCCATTACATATCTTCGTCACATCATTATAAGTGTTTGATCACCACATTTGAGTTATTATTGCATAAAATGTGTTTATTAATATATATTCTGTTTATGTCAAAAGTTTGGACACACAAATGGGAAGTGTGTCCAAACTTTTGACTGGTACTATAATATACACAAAGAATATCGGCCGA